CCTCGACTGCCCGCGCTCAATTAATTGGAGTGTAGAAAATCAGGTCTTATGCGATCTCAAAGGCACGCAAGACGATGGTAATGAGTAATCTTGATCAATGAACCATGAAGCCGTTCTTAGGGCATACTGTGACGCGAAATGAGGTAGAGACGAAAACACTCGTCGATAAACTTCTGGTGTGATGGTTTCTGAGGGCGATGGTCCAGTGGTGCACGGAAGCAAGCGTCAACCCTCCGTTGCTCAATCATCCGCGGAGGCTAAATATATGGCACTGGTCTTGGCCACGTAAAAGGTTTGGATTCGGTCGGTACCTGATGTAAGATCTTGGACTTCAATCATCTGGTGCAACAGATATTATGATGGATAACAAATAGGCTATCAGCATGGAGAAGAAGCTGGGTTACACGCCTCGTGCGAAACACATTGATCTGTGGGCTCATTACGTGCGTGATCATGTGAAGAGCGTAAACATAAGCCTTGAGCACTAACCATCCGAAGACCAATTAGCGGATTTCTTGATTAAGGCTATTTACACCGCACTTTACGCAGCTACGATACCTCAGCAACGTTTTTTTTCGTCCTTCTGTTACAACTTAATACTGTAACAAGGTGGTGTTGCCTACAACATTGGTTTACGTCGATGGGAATGTGCGCGTTGGGAAAATGCGGGTTAACTGGAGGACGACAATGTTATCACGGATGGTTGGGACACCAATGTTACTGTTGTGTGAGCTTCTAGATACGGATATCTAGAAGTTAGTGTCGATATACATGTTTGCAGTACTAGAACAAGTAGGTGAGACTGACAGGGAACGCTAAAGGATATTTCATTTTCCATTTTTGTGCTGCAGAGGACAAGCGAATTACTAAGTGTTAAAATACTGCAAATTCACCTGCTTGGAATGATGACCCAGAGTTGCATGCTCAGCGTCTATTTCATGTTTTCTATGCATCTCCTGCAACTTGAACTCTTCCCTGTTCGCTTCCGACCAGTCACGATTTCCATATTTCAAGGGAGCGTCATTGTGCTAGTCATAGTAAACGCATGTCTAAATGATGCTATGAAAACCCTTCAGCTTTTATCTGCCTGAGCTTTGTTTATCAACAGCAATCTCCTATCGAACTCCGAAGTTGAAGTATACTTGTCTCATGATGTTCGTCGATCAAAGCCCCATTAAGTACTAGTTATTGAACCGCCAACTCACGCATTAGGCCATGTGCCTTCGTTACCACGATTTCACGTTTCTAGAACGTATGACGGGGGCTAATGCAGCGATTTTTTTTGTGCTCCTTGGCTTTACAAATTCTTCTATTCTACAAGTTGATTGAAAACAGAGGCTTACGATTGGGTGTCGTCATGTTTATCTCTCTGGACATCCCCAACTAGCCTGATCCGACAGCTACCACATGTTTGGTCGCCTCGAGAGCAATCCAGCACATCGTAGACAGCTTCAAGAGGTGAGGACAAGGCGACTTGAAACAGGATGATATGCGGGTTTTATATTGTAAGGTCGTGGTGGTGGTGCCCGAATGAAGACTACATGTAACACTTCAGGACGACCATCTCCTTTGCTGTTTGCATTTACGTCATCAATTCGATATTAAGTGGTACATTATCGAATAAATAGTGCGAGGGAGGTAGGATGAGCTTACGCAATCGATGCATTTAGCTCGAAGAAGCACACTTGCACAATCTCAAGCATTTCTCCTTTGCTTAATACATAGATATGCTGCACCGATTGGCGTTCTTCCGAAAACCACAAGCGAATGGCAGCAGTAAAAGCTGATCATCTTCGACTGGGGACCCAAAACCGTTTGCGTGCCAGTGGACCATATTAAGAACATCCAGACGTATCACAAATACTTGATCCTCTCTCGATTCTTCATCTTATGCACCCGGGCGCATCATCCAGACGCAATCATGCAGAGCTAAACGATCGTGTTACTCCGGCTGAGTAGCATACGCTTCTTGATACGTGTCGCAAACGAAATGGTATGATGCTATCGAGCCACCCTTGGAAAGGACCGCCTCGTGCCTTTGCATCATCAGCAAGTCCGTATCCGTGATAAGGAACATACTGTCTTCTTCTATTTCTCTGACACGGAATCATCTCCACGCAGTGGCCATTACTGCTGTACCATAACTACGCATTTTCTGTAAAGTATTTTGACAGATGGTTGGTGACCACAAAATTCTGACTTACTCTATACCTCACGCTTCCCACAAATGTACCACTTCACGAGAACCGCCACCCTTTTTTGGTGACGCAAGTACGGCTGAATGTAAACGAAGGACTTGCCTCACCATAACTAGTCGCTGGTCCTTGACTAACATTGTCTGAGCTTCGCTCGTACGTCACCGTATATATGCGCAAGATGGTCCCGTTGAATGGCAAATACGCATTTACGTGTTCAATCTATTCACAAGGCGCTGAATGCAACTGGTAGTCTAGCTGTGTACATGGCTAGCTACTGGGTTTTGTGTTTCTAAATCAACAACGTCAACGTGATCAGCGTGACCGTCGCGATGTAACTCACAGTAATCGTCACTGTACCACTCGTGGCGCTTGAGCTGCTCCCGTCTCGAATGTTATTCGCGGTGGCGTTGTTTGACGTCTCCATCGATCGAACAGCTTTGCATTTTGTATTGAACGCATCGACGATGTCAGTCTGCATGTGTGCATTCATCTCTTGAATCTTGCAATCTCCGAGTCCCGCTGCTCCAATCTCAGCTAAAAATGCCACGCAAGCATCGCTGTCACAGTATGGCTTGATCTCCTCCAAGGAGAGTTCGGACATGATCGGGGTGAGTTTGCTACCGACATCCGACATGCACGTGGCCACGTATGGGCTGGTTACGAATCCCATTACTTTTGACGTGGCGCAAATTTCTTCCGTCCTCACGATACTCACGAATGGCAGCAGTAGTACGAGAACCGCCAACAACGACATCGCTATGAGAAGCTTAGCTGACTTGAAGAAAGTTGATTCGATTATGGGATCGTTTGTGTCGACTTGTTTGCCAGATTGAACACTTTGTACATGAGTTTTCTCCTAAGAATCAAACAGACTGCCACGGTCGACTGTGCTACCATGCATGGAGAGAGGCAAGCGACTACTGAAGCGAAGTCAAACAGACGGACTCAGATCGGCGCAGTTGTGAGCCACCCCGACCGAAAGATATGCGCGCTTGCATCTTTACACGGGCAGTTGGCAATATCGGGCAGTAGAGCTTTTGTCCAGCGTAGGACTCCAAGGGCTGCCAAGTGATATCTCCAGATGCTCTGAAGTATGATCGCACGGTCTGCGCGTAACATCGATCTCATACGTCTGCATATGGGTATGTGATGCAGTGGATATGGTCGGACAAGCACATGTGACTCAGTCTGACGCGCAAGGCTCTCTATTTTTCATTCCCTTCGTAAGTACCTGATAGAGCGTACATACCGGGAGTGACGCGAGCATCCATATGTCGATGCTCTATACGTGGGTCTTCGAATCAGCAGAAAAGATGGGAGAGAAAAAGAGGGACATGGATGTATCTAAAGAGGGACATGGATGTATCTTCAGTTGTTCTTGTCGTGGACTGGCTCGCACATATTCTGCAAAGCATGAGGGTGATGAGTTCTTACTGACCCGTCGCCGATTCTGTGAACGACAGTTCGACTAACTGGTGCTGCTCGATATAGTGGTGGCAAAGGATGTAGCTCAATTACTCGCGGATTTTTGGTGCGATCAACTATATGTACACCATCTTAGTGTTGTCGACATAGAGAGGCTAAAAAATTGATTGCATACAAAATCTTTGGCAAGCTCCCGACCGCCAAGCAACTGCTGGCACTCCAAGTGCTTAAGTCTACTTGACGCCGTCATGTGATGTTGACGATACCCTCTTTGCCAATCGTAAGCTGCTTTCGTTATCGTGCAGCACAGATATTGGGCCCTCTACTTCGTACACAGAGGCGCGAAAGGAAGCTCCATGCGAGCATTGAATTGGACGATGCCCGTGTGCAGCAAACACAAATACAGCATGAAATCGTCTGTCGGCGCCCCCAATACTAAAACGTCTATCACGCGCCATTGACCGAATAGTGCGATCACGTCGGACACATCAGCTGCTGTTCCATGCCATAGTTTCCGATAGCAATAGTGAAGATATTAGTCGCAAGGAGCATTGTGATGACAAAATCGTTATGTTTACTGCATGGTATTGTAAATCGTCACACGATCAATCTACGGACGTGCCACAACTCGAACTGAATGTCTATAAGAGTCCATACTAGACAAGGTATATGAAACATTTTAAATCAAGTTTGGGTGACAGAAGCCGTTAGCCGCCGAAGTGGAGCGAATGTGCGCGGGCCAGTCCACGACAAGAACAACTGAAGATACATCCATGTCTCTCTTTAGATACATCCATGTCCCTCTTTTTCTCTCCCATCTTTTCTGCTGATTCGAAGACCCACGTATAGAGCATCGACATATGGATGCTCGCGTCACTCCCGGTATGTACGCTCTATCAGGTACTTACGAAGGGAATGAAAAATAGAGAGCCTTGCGCGTCAGACTGAGTCACATGTGCTTGTCCGACCATATCCACTGCATCACATACCCATATGCAGACGTATGAGATCGATGTTACGCGCAGACCGTGCGATCATACTTCAGAGCATCTGGAGATATCACGTGGCAGCCCTTGGAGTCCTACGCTGGACAAAAGCTCTACTGCCCGATATTGCCAACTGCCCGTGTAAAGATGCAAGCGCGCATATCTTTCGGTCGGGGTGGCTCACAACTGCGCCGATCTGAGTCCGTCTGTTTGACTTCGCTTCAGTAGTCGCTTGCCTCTCTCCATGCATGGTAGCACAGTCGACCGTGGCAGTCTGTTTGATTCTTAGGAGAAAACTCATGTACAAAGTGTTCAATCTGGCAAACAAGTCGACACAAACGATCCCATAATCGAATCAACTTTCTTCAAGTCAGCTGAGCTTCTCATAGCGATGTCGTTGTTGGCGGTTCTCGTACTACTGCTGCCATTCGTGAGTATCGTGAGGACGGAAGAAATTTGCGCCACGTCAAAAGTAATGGGATTCGTAACCAGCCCATACGTGGCCACGTGCATGTCGGATGTCGGTAGCAAACTCACCCCGATCATGTCCGAACTCTCCTTGGAGGAGATCAAGCCATACTGTGACAGCGATGCTTGCGTGGCATTTTTAGCTGAGATTGGAGCAGCGGGACTCGGAGATTGCAAGATTCAAGAGATGAATGCACACATGCAGACTGACATCGTCGATGCGTTCAATACAAAATGCAAAGCTGTTCGATCGATGGAGACGTCAAACAACGCCACCGCGAATAACATTCGAGACGGGAGCAGCTCAAGCGCCACGAGTGGTACAGTGACGATTACTGTGAGTTACATCGCGACGGTCACGCTGATCACGTTGACGTTGTTGATTTAGAAACACAAAACCCAGTAGCTAGCCATGTACACAGCTAGACTACCAGTTGCATTCAGCGCCTTGTGAATAGATTGAACACGTAAATGCGTATTTGCCATTCAACGGGACCATCTTGCGCATATATACGGTGACGTACGAGCGAAGCTCAGACAATGTTAGTCAAGGACCAGCGACTAGTTATGGTGAGGCAAGTCCTTCGTTTACATTCAGCCGTACTTGCGTCACCAAAAAAGGGTGGCGGTTCTCGTGAAGTGGTACATTTGTGGGAAGCGTGAGGTATAGAGTAAGTCAGAATTTTGTGGTCACCAACCATCTGTCAAAATACTTCGCAGAAAATGCGTAGTTATGGTACAGCAGTAATGGCCACTGCGTGGAGATGATTCCGTGTCAGAGAAATAGAAGAAGACAGTATGTTCCTTATCACGGATACGGACTTGCTGATGATGCAAAGGCACGAGGCGGTCCTTTCCAAGGGTGGCTCGACAGCATCATACCATTTCGTTTGCGACACGTATCAAGAAGCGTATGCTACTCAGCCGGAGTAACACGATCGTTTAGCTCTGCATGATTGCGTCTGGATGATGCGCCCGGGTGCATAAGATGAAGAATCGAGAGAGGATCAAGTATTTGTGATACGTCTGGATGTTCTTAATATGGTCCACTGGCACGCAAACGGTTTTGGGTCCCCAGTCGAAGATGATCAGCTTTTACTGCTGCCATTCGCTTGTGGTTTTCGGAAGAACGCCAATCGGTGCAGCATATCTATGTATTAAGCAAAGGAGAAATGCTTGAGATTGTGCAAGTGTGCTTCTTCGAGCTAAATGCATCGATTGCGTAAGCTCATCCTACCTCCCTCGCACTAGTTATTCGATAATGTACCACTTAATATCGAATTGATGACGTAAATGCAAACAGCAAAGGAGATGGTCGTCCTGAAGTGTTACATGTAGTCTTCATTCGGGCACCACCACCACGACCTTACAATATAAAACCCGCGTATCATCCTGTTTCGATTCGCCTTGTCCTCACCTCTTGAAGCTGTCTACGATGTGCTGGATTGCTCTCGAGGCGACCAAACATGTGGTAGCTGTCGGATCAGGCTAGTTGGGGATGTCCAGAGAGATAAACATGACGACACCCAATCGTAAGCCTCTGTTTTCAATCAACTTGTAGAATAGAAGAATTTGTAAAGCCAAGGAGCACAAACAAAATCGCTGCATTAGCCCCCGTCATACGTTCTAGAAACGTGAAATCGTGGTAACGAATGCACATGGCCTAATGCGTGAGTTGATAGATTGTGATTGGTGTACTTAATGAGCTTTGATCAACGAACATCGCGATGACAAATGTGTTTAAAGACATTGTTTTTATGACAGGTTTTTCAATAAGCCATGACGGTTGAAGTTCAAACGGCAAGACCTATGAGCAGGCCTCCCTATTTACGGGAAAATAGTACTTGCACCATAAATAACCGTAAATAAGGTCCAGGTTGTACCGTAAATAAGGGCCTTACTAAAAGGTTTTTATTGGCGGCACCCTGATCTATACCGGCGCTCTTGCCTGTCTTTCCTCCATCAACTCGCCCTCCCCACCTCCCTTCTCCTCGCACTCTGTCTCGAGCACGCCTTATTTTTATCTTCACACTTAACTCCCGTGCTCCCGCTATGCCGCGCGGTACGCTGCGTACGCCCTTCAACCCAGACCACCAAGTCAACTACGGACTTTCCATCGCAAGTCGGGATGTAGCCACGTCGAAGGTCGTTTCAGTAAATTGTCTCTTCTGTATTCACTTTGGCCGAGAGAACACAGACACGAGCACCGCCCAGGAAGAACGGAAGCGGCGCAGAACCAAAAATATCAAGTCTTTTACTAAACCATTTCGAACCGACAATTACGTACAGCACATCAGCCGCCAGCATAAGGCACGCTCGGACCAATTCAAGATCCTGTCCAGAGACCAGAAGGCCATCTTTTTCCAAAGAAATGCGACCAATCAGGCACAGGAACACCATTCCACCGCACTTCGCCGGCAACCAGACGGCAATGCAGCTTTACATCAACAAAGCGATTGTTGACGTCATCATCGGGAACCTACTTCTCGACCAGGACGACGACGATGGGCTGCCGAAACATGTGCAGGGAAAGAGCACTTAGAACCTTTGAAGATATCGACCCAACACCGTTGAAGACCCTGGATTGGACACTACCAAATATCGAATCGACATCTCGAATCCAAAGCAATTTAATCTGGTGGCGGGATTTCTCAGAACTGGAGTTTACTTTCGGCAAGCAGAAGCTCTGGCTACCATGACAAAAGAAGTCAACGGCGTTGCGGAGATCGACACTGCCAAGAATGAAAGGGTCGCTCAGTACGCTCGCTTTACTTTGGCCTTGAATCTGCAACATATCCACGACATCTTGTAAATTAGCTGGGCATTCTCAATCGCGTTGGATATGTCCACTCATATGTCGACTTCACTCCTGGACATCCGCATTCTGCTCTTCTGGCATGGCGAGATCATCAACTTGCACATGATTGGAATTTTGGTTTCTGCAGGCATAAGGCAGCATAAGTGTACCGCCACGCTCCGGCAGTGCTGGATGTACTCTGCACTGAATGGAAGACAATGCTGATTTCTCTTAACGGACGGCGAACCGCGAATGATCGGCCACATCGGCGGGGTGGCCACGCTATTTGAACAAGCAGCATTACCTGGCTTTTACCGCATCTGGTGTGATTTACATCAATTGGACTTGAAGTTGTGATTGTTCTACGAAGAATTGATGGACAAAGAATTTTTGTCAATGCTAACAGCACTCATTGGATACCTGCGCCGTCAACAGAACCTGATTAACGACATAGGAACGAAATGTCGCACACTCGCAGAAACAAGGTGAGAATCCATGTCAAAGGTCGCCAGCTGGTTCAAAACGCACCGAAAGGCCATCAGAGAGTACCTGGAGACGAAGACCCTGTCCTGCAAACCGCCGCATGAATGGTGGGTAGTCCTAATGTTCGTCGAAGATGAGTCCGCAGCCGCCACCGATACCTTCAAGCAACTATAAAAGGATGACACTCTGGTCTCGCGGCAGCACCAAGCCATCGCCAATCTACGGACTTACTGCAAAGACTTTGTCATAACAAACGGCCCATTAGCTTCTGGACAGCGTGAAGACATCGACATCGAGAGACACGCTGTGTTCAGCAACGATTTCTACTCAGCTCGTGTCGCAGATATGACCTTGTTTCTGAAAGACATGGGTGGTTTTTTATCCGATCGCATGCAACATGCCGGGCAAGCCAGTATGGAAAACCTGGCAAGAAACTTGAGCAAGGGCCTGTTGAATTTGATCGCTGGGCTGGACGAAGTCGTGGACGAACGAAACTCCCTGAATAGCGTTTCCTTGGACGTGTCGCCAGCAGTGCTGTCGCACGAGTTGGTGACACTGAATGGACGCGGCTTTACCGCTATTGTACGCACACAACGTGAACGTCTTGCTGCTCATTGGGCCCCTATTTCTGCAGAAGCGACAATGGACTACATTGAAACCGAATTCCGTGATCTCAAAAATGCTTACTGCAATGAAGAGCCCTTCTGTATGCATTGGACGGGTGTACATACAAAACGCCCTTCAGCAAGGCCTGGAAACTTACAAGAGGTAGATTCACGAGCTGGAGATGTTTTGTGGTGGACTGGCAAGCACTTTTTCGGGAACGTCCTCTGTAGAGAGCGGTCTTTCCATTCTAAAATGGGAAAAAGACATCCACCGGATGAGCTTGACAGACTTTTCCCTGATAGGCGTGATGCCCGCAAGGCAGTTCAAGCTTCTCCAGAAACTTACGTTCTAAGCGGAGACAATGAATACAAACACGGTCCTTTGATACTCAGCTGTCCCAACTGCTTTCGTCCTTCATAGTAGTTTAATCAAGACCCCGTAAATAACCGTATTTAAGGTCGGACCTCGTTCCGTAAATAGCTTATTTACGGTATTTACGGGAGACCCGTAATAAGGGAGGCCTGCATATAGGGCTAGATCCGAACTCGTCTGATTGGCCATTATGTTGAAGACTCGGCAGGTGGAATAGATGGAAACGGACGCCACGCGGGACGATAAGCATGTCGAGACGGATGGGACCAGGAGATGCGGTTGACACATGGGACCAGCATATGATGATGTGCGGACTGGACATGAGGTATGTGCAACCTTACCTGGTCAAGTTGTAATGCCGATGGTCTACATGTTGTAGTGGTAATTGAAATATGATCCTCGGGATTATGTTACTTTTACTTTCAACCTACTTTGCACGAGTGCATTCAAACAAGATTTGTTACATAGCATACCTTAAACGCGGTGTTCGACAAAAGATTGATTGATGTTGACAGAAAAAGCTCCGGCAGCTAAGCTGAACGATGTTCACATCATCTTTTTAGCATGTATTTACTATGAATAGCACAACTACGCTTGCTTCTAACGTGTGCAACGTGTCTGATCGAATGTAAACAGAGACGAGTACAAATTGTCGGAGATGCGTTAGAAAGGATGAAATGGGCGATGTAGCATGCAAAGGTGGGTTATCATACCAAGCAGGTGAATTTACAATATATATATGTAACAAAATGACCGCCGGCCGTGAGGTTTCCGACAGGATTTTCTTGTGGCGTATCATTCGGCACTATGCGCTTATCGTGGTCATGGCTTTATTTATTAACACCAAACACAATGTATTCAGGTACGGCATGATCGCACGTACACTGGTACGCACGAAGGAAGCGTGACCGAACAAACACAGATTTTTCAAGGACACACAAGTTATTATGGCTATACGTATCCATCCAGATCATAGCGGAGCTCAAACCAATCACAATTATGTACGCTAAGTACTTGAACATCATTCATTGTGACTGTCGCTTCTTATTAGGTGGTATACGCGCGAGACGCGTTTCGGCTTCCCGTCGGAGGCCTCATTAGCGGTTTTGTCTATATACAAGTGACAACTA